CGCGAAGGGCATTCAGTCACTCGTGTGAATTTGTCGCCCTCGCTTCGCTCGGGGTGCCAGTGCTAGAATGCCCTATTTTGCGCCCTAGGTACACAATGTACTATTTTGTTTCTTTGAAACAGTCAATGTATGGTTCAGCAAGTAAGTTCGGTCTATTGAATTCGTCTCGGCAGTTTCACTGCATCGATTAAACATTCGCTTCTTTACTGGCCGTGTCAAGCATAATGAAGCTATGAAAAGATAAATATTAGTTATGTCCTGTACCCAGTCACAGCCAGTAATCCGCACGCGTGTTGCACGACGATTGTGAAACTCGAATCGCAAGCCATGTTCACGATGGCCACAAATATTATTCCCAAGCTGCCGTGCAGTTGGATGAGGTAAAAAATTTCGTGCTCGTCAGCGAAATAGTAGCCCGGTATGACGAATATCATCGGCGTTGTATTAGAGTGTTGTAACCAGGCCAAAAGGCGCGTTGTCCATGGTAGTTGCAGGAACAGGATAGAGCAGAAAGTTACGTTCACTGTGTAAAATAATTCTTATGATCCACGTACAAATAATTGTACATCACGGGTGAATTAAGTTTTGCAAAAATTATGATTCAAGTATAATCCAAGGTATAAAATCGGAAAGTTTAAGCAATCGAATACGCGGACTGACCTATATAAAACATTGCAAGAATCGTGCCCCTTTTAGCATACTTCGACATAATAGCGATCTCGTCGTCCGATCGATCCATTGTCCAATCCCGGTACATACTTTTCAAAAGTAACTTGTACTGCAAAGTTTGTTAATATTATACAGAGGAATGTACGAATAGTTATAGACGGCGAATTCGCTCACCTTCGTCGCGTTCAGAACATAATTACCCTGTTTTAATGCGAACACCAGGCACGTGCCTATTAGAGGTAGATGGTCTATGAAAACATTTACAGTTTTAACATGTATGATTCTTGTTATCTGAAATTAATATTAAATCCTTACCTAGAAAATGACATCGCATCATCAGCATTATACAATGCTTACGCTATTATTCATATTTGTACTCTATTCTTAAGGAATGTACGTAACGCCGCACGTGCATGAAATATCAGAAAAAAAAAAACTGTCAGAGATAAAGAGAACGCGGAATTAAGTCGTTTTGATTAAATATACGCTTACTTGAACCAGTACACTTGTCACAATTTCACTGTACAAGATGATCCATAAAATGTACTTGACGAGCTTATTCTGATCAGGCCATATTCCTGCCAAACGCCCGAGCGTTTTTAAGATGCCCAAGTATCGTTTCTCGAAGGTGTCCTCGTCCATAATCGAACGCAGACTGCATCGTCTGAGTCGTTAGGGGGCACCGAGAAATGCATCCTTTCCTATTGGTTTACCGATTCTATAGACCGGTGCATGTATAATGTACTCTGTTGCAGCTTGAAACATTCACAATGAAACGTGTAAATATTCACTGTCAATATACGGAAACGGTAATGCATAACATTCTCCTAATGTGTCGTGCATTTTTTATAGTGATGCGTTTTTACCATATGTCCTTAACGCCTTCTGCTTTCTATTGATTATTTCATATCTCTTCGTATGATTTTAGTTTTGACGTTCAAGAGGGAAACTCTTACGTTTCATCTTACATACCATTATAAAACTAGATAAAGTATATGGAGTTATTGAAGTGCATATACACTTCCACTACGGTTTTTATAAATCAGTAGCATTACCCTACGACTTCTACAATTTGATTTCGAATTCTGCACACTTTTATGAGTAAGTACAAAAACGTATATTGAGTTCTTGAATAAATCTCTCAATCATTTAAACAATAAAAATATTCGAATTGAAATAGTTTGTTCATCATGCACATTATTGGTACGGTTAATAATAATATCTGGATGTTTCTTTCACGTTTGTTTAGTACCATCTAAAACTTTCTCTACACATAAATAATGTATTAACAGTTTATTTATCTACGAACAACTTTTCTACTTTCTTATTTTTAATGTCTGATAATTTTCTGTTAAATGTAAGCGCCATCAAAAACATTTTATTCGGCTCTTCTTCAGCTTACATTAATAAGTGACTATTTTTACTAACACACCGTATATTTACGGCATCAAAAAGATGTTGATGATCTCTATATATTTATCTTATAACTGTATAATACGAGACTGACGTCTTTATCACCTGTGAACAGCAACATTTATTTAGTATCTCCATGAGAAAATTATAATCTCCATCGTACGAAATCGTAGTAACATACCTCCGAGAAACTGGCCATATTCATGTTCATTAAACCACCAGCAGTCAAACGAGGAGGTTTCATCATTCTCTGTAACGCTAATACGTGCAGCAATTGTGTTTTGACGTTGGTATCGTACCATAATGCTTCGTATCTGATAGAATGTTCCATTTTCATTAATTAGGAGATTTCCACCGAAAATCAGATACAAAAATGACGTTCATATAATGATCATTTATGCCATACTTACATCTTATTGTAAAGATTGTCACAAACATTTTCCACGAACTGTCCCTGAATCGTCAGATAGAATAGGTGCATTAACTGCGCCAACAAAAAACTTACGTATTTGTAAAAATCCATGCAAACGTCCATAGTGGCCACCTAATTTCCGAACAATTTACGTTAACGGTTTAAAAGTATGTAGTTGTTGGATAATCTTACTTTCACCAATGTAATACTAAAGCAGCAAACCACCATGCCGATGCATAAGAAGAGATATGTAGCATGTGTAGCTTCTATTTCCTGAACGTATCTGTTAAACACACTTTTCATATATCCGAAAAATTGTCAAGGAGAAACAGAGATCTCGAAAATAATTAAAATTAAGATTGTAATACTGACTCTATAGCTCGCTGGTGAGCTAGAATGGAAAAGCGTATTCTTTCATTCTGTTTCGTTCGTTGTTCGGAGTTTTTAGCGTACGAATAGGGTTCGATCGCGTGTTTGAATCTGTATCTGAAAACATTCGAAAGCATGCAATCTCTGACCCAGAAGTGAACAATACTTTGTAATAAATCGATTTTAACACAATTTTATCCTGGGTGAATTTTTGATTTTTCGAACAATCAGTAATTAGATGTGTGAAATACTTGTAAATTTATTATATTCTTATTGAACCTTTGTAGTTTATCTCATTAATTAAGCAGTACCTTCGTACTTACTGATACTATCATGCATAATAAAATTTTAAAATAGAAATAAAGTAGGACTTGAATCGGTATGGATACACGAGGATTTGGATAAAGAACGTACTACGTATTGTTCATTCCCTTTACCCAGTTACAGCCAGTAAACCGCACGCGTGTTGTACTACGATCGTAAAACTCGAATCGCACCCCAGGTAGACGATAGTGACAAATATTATCCCCAAGCTGCCGTGCAGTTGGATGAAGTAATAAATTTCGTGCTCGTCAACGAAATAGTAGCCCGGTATGACGAATATCATCGGCGTTGTGTTAAAATGCTGTAACCGAGCCAACAGGCGCGTTGTCCATGGAAGTTGCAAGAATAGGATAGAGCAGATGAGTACGTTCACTGTATACAATCATTCTTATGATTCATATTCAAATAATTGATTATTAGGAATCCTGTGCCACAAAGTATTTATTTAACGAGTTGACGAAATCTTATTTTAAATCGTCTTACCTATGTAGAACATTGCAAGTTGGTAACCCCTTTTCGCATATTTTGTCATAATAGCGATCTCGTCATCTGATCGATCCATGGCCCAGTCTCGGTACATACCCTTCAAAAGTGACTTGTACTGCAATGTTCTTCTAATAATACACGAAAATTGGTAGGATATATGTTGACATCCAAGTATACTCACTTTAGTCGCGTTGAGAATATAATTTCCCTGTTTTAATACTAAAATTATGCAAGCTCCTATTAGAGGTAAATGGTCTATGAAAACATATACACTTCTGATATGCATAATTCTTGTTATCTGAAATTAATATTTAACCCTTATGTAACAAATAGCGCTAGTGTTATACAGTGTTTCAATTGTTTTCTACATTTCTACTTTACTTTTAATAATGTATCTATACTATGTACATAACACAATGTGCGTATCAATGATTAAAAAAAAGATGTGTCAAAGATAAAAAGAACGGGGAACGATATTGTTATATACACTTACTTGAACGAACACACTTGTCAGCATTTCAACAGCCGTGATGACCCACACAATGCACTTGATGCACATGCTTTGATCGGGCCATATTCCGGCTAATTTAAGAAACCACTTCGTAATCCGTAGGTATCGTCTCTCGAACGTATCTTCGTCCATAATTGACTACAGACTGTGTGTGCCATTAGGGTGACATCGAGAAATGCATCCGTATCTATTGCTTTACCGATCTATAGACTTATGCATATACAATGTACTATTGCAGCTTAAGACGTTTACAATGACAAGTGTGTAAATGCGATAACGGAAATGCATAACATTTTCGTAATGTGTCGTGCATTTTTTATATTGATGTGTTCGCACCATATGTCCTTAACACCCTCTGCATTCTATCGATTTCCTCATCTTTACTCGTACGATTTTAGTTTTGTCATCCAAGAGGAAAACTTACATTTCGCCTTACATCCCGTTATCAAGTCACATAATATACATGGAGTTAGTGAACTGCATATACACTTCCATTACATTAAGTACAAAAAGTACAAAAATACAGTAAGTACAAAAATTATATTTGAATCTTGAAATCTCTCAAATCATTTGAACGATAAAAATATTCGAATTCAAATAATTTGTTCATCATGCAAATTATTGGTACGGTTAATAATTGCATCCGGATGTTCCTTTTATATTTATTTACTACTGTCTAAAATTTACTCTAGACGTAAATAATGGATTAAGAGTTTATTTATATAGAAACAATTTTTGTACATTCTTAATTGTAATCGCCGATGGGGCGTTGTTACAAAAATAGTTTATTTAACTATTCTGCAGCTATAATATAAATACATGACAATTCTCACGAGCATGTCGTACATTTATGGCATCAAAGGAATGTTCATTTTCGTTATACACATTTATCTTAGTACTGTATAATACGAGTTTGATGTCTTTATCACCTATAAATAATATTTATTTAGTAAAGTCATTAGGAAAATTGTAATATTCATTGTAGGCGACGGCTTGCTATGGTCACTGTACTATTTTTTTAAGTTTGGATACAACAAATCAATGTTTGGATACAATAGAGAATCGCATCTTATTTCCACCCAGCTATATTAGAATAATCGACGCAGATATTGAATTAGTTTGGATACACGACGTTTGCATAAAGAAGATTCTATCGTATTGTTCATTCCTTTTACACAGTTACAATCAGTAATCCGCAGATGTGTTGTGGTACAATCGTAAGACTCGAATCACAGCCTATGTGACTGTGTGTGCCACAAATATTATTCCCAAGCTGCCGTGTAAGTAGTTGGATGAGGTAAAAAATTTCGTGCTCGTTAACGAAATAATAGCCTGGTATGATGAATATCATCGGCGTTGTGTTAAAGTGCTGTAACCGAGCCAACAGGCGCGTTGTCCATGGAAGTTGTAAGAATAGGATAGAGCAGATGAGTACGTTCACTGCATACAATCATTCTTATGATTCATATTCAAATAATTGGTTATTAGGAATCCGGTGCCACAAAGTATTTATTTAACGAGTTGACGAAATCGTATTTTAAATCGTCTTACCTGTGTAGAATATTTCAAGCTAGTAACCCCTGTTCGCATATTTTGTCATAATAGTGATCTCCTCGTCAGATTGATCCATTGCCTAGTCTCGATACATACCCTTCAAAAGTGGCTTGTACTGTAATGTTCTTTTAGTAATACTTACACGAAGGTTGGTAGGATAGATGTTGACATCCAAGTCTACTCGCTTGAGTCGCGTTGAGAATGTAATTACACTGTTTTAATATTAACATTATGCTCACGGCTATTAGAGGTAAATGGTCTATTTCAAACATTTACACATTTGATATGCATTATTCTTGTTAGTTGAAACTAATATTAAACACTTACTTAAAAAGTAGTGGTAACATACAGTGCTATAGCGCTAGCATTCGCTAACGGTATACAGTGTTTCAAATAGTTTTTACACACTTCTACTCTACGTTTGATAATATATGTATCTATATACGTAACGCAATGTGCGTATCAATCGTTAAAAAAAGATCTTTCAATGATAAAATGACGTTGTTCCACATAATACACGCTTACTTGAACAAATACACTTGACAGCATTTCAACAGCCGTGATGACCCATGCAAAGCACTTGATGCACGTATTTTGATCGGGCCATATTTCAGTCAATTTGTGAAACCATTTCGTGATCCTTAGGTATCGTCTCTCGAACGTATTCTCATCCACGGTTGAGGGCAGACTGTCGCTCGAGCCGTAAGAGCTACACCAAGAAATGCATGTTGTCGGTTTACTGATTCTATACACCGGTACATATACATAAGGTAATATTGTGCTTTAAAACATTCATGACGTAATTTGAGAAAATTCACTCGCTACGGTTATGCTAATACATAGTGTATCCTAATGCGTAATGCATTCTTTATGGTAATGTGTCGTGCATTCTTTATATTAATGCATGTAGACCATATCTCCTTAAAGACAATCTTACTTTTTTCCATCGATTACAGTTTTGGGACTCCAGAAGAATTCTGTTTCCCTAGATTCCTTTTGTTATACATAGAGTTCGATAAAATATATGAAATTAATAAAGTGCGCTCATACCTTATTCTACTGTTTGAGAAAATTGTAATATTCATTGTAGGCGACGGCTTGCTATGGTCACTGTACTATTTTTTTAAGTTTGGATACAACAAATCAATGTATGGGTAAAATAGAGAATCGCATCTTATTTCCACCCAGCTATATTAGAATAATCGACGCAGATATTGAATTAGTTTGGATACACGACGTTTGCATAAAGAAGATTCTATCGTATTGTTCATTCCTTTTACACAGTTACAATCAGTAATCCGCAGATGTGTTGTGGTACAATCGTAAGACTCGAATCACAGCCTATGTGACTGTGTGTGCCACAAATATTATTCCCAAGCTGCCGTGTAAGTAGTTGGATGAGGTAAAAAATTTCGTGCTCGTTAACGAAATAATAGCCTGGTATGATGAATATCATCGGCGTTGTGTTAAAGTGCTGTAACCGAGCCAACAGGCGCGTTGTCCATGGAAGTTGTAAGAATAGGATAGAGCAGATGAGTACGTTCACTGCATACAATCATTCTTATGATTCATATTCAAATAATTGGTTATTAGGAATCCGGTGCCACAAAGTATTTATTTAACGAGTTGACGAAATCGTATTTTAAATCGTCTTACCTGTGTAGAATATTTCAAGCTAGTAACCCCTGTTCGCATATTTTGTCATAATAGTGATCTCCTCGTCAGATTGATCCATTGCCTAGTCTCGATACATACCCTTCAAAAGTGGCTTGTACTGTAATGTTCTTTTAGTAATACTTACACGAAGGTTGGTAGGATAGATGTTGACATCCAAGTCTACTCGCTTGAGTCGCGTTGAGAATGTAATTACACTGTTTTAATATTAACATTATGCTCACGGCTATTAGAGGTAAATGGTCTATTTCAAACATTTACACATTTGATATGCATTATTCTTGTTAGTTGAAACTAATATTAAACACTTACTTAAAAAGTAGTGGTAACATACAGTGCTATAGCGCTAGCATTCGCTAACGGTATACAGTGTTTCAAATAGTTTTTACACACTTCTACTCTACGTTTGATAATATATGTATCTATATACGTAACGCAATGTGCGTATCAATCGTTAAAAAAAGATCTTTCAATGATAAAATGACGTTGTTCCACATAATACACGCTTACTTGAACAAATACACTTGACAGCATTTCAACAGCCGTGATGACCCATGCAAAGCACTTGATGCACGTATTTTGATCGGGCCATATTTCAGTCAATTTGTGAAACCATTTCGTGATCCTTAGGTATCGTCTCTCGAACGTATTCTCATCCACGGTTGAGGGCAGACTGTCGCTCGAGCCGTAAGAGCTACACCAAGAAATGCATGTTGTCGGTTTACTGATTCTATACACCGGTACATATACATAAGGTAATATTGTGCTTTAAAACATTCATGACGTAATTTGAGAAAATTCACTCGCTACGGTTATGCTAATACATAGTGTATCCTAATGCGTAATGCATTCTTTATGGTAATGTGTCGTGCATTCTTTATATTAATGCATGTAGACCATATCTCCTTAAAGACAATCTTACTTTTTTCCATCGATTACAGTTTTGGGACTCCAGAAGAATTCTGTTTCCCTAGATTCCTTTTGTTATACATAGAGTTCGATAAAATATATGAAATTAATAAAGTGCGCTCATACCTTATTCTACTGTTTGTGAAATAATAGGATTTAACATTTTGCTGTCCGGTCTCTGTCAGAGTATGGCAGTAGGACTTAACTGAGGTTGAGGGTACAGTGACAATGGGTGGTGTACTTCAGTAGGTACTGTGGCGTGATTTATCACCGTGGAGCGGTTATCTCTGCCCCTAAAGTGCGTAAAGAGCATTCCCCAGCTCTCTTAAAAAAAAAATATATCCGGATAAAACATATACGATCTCCACCCGCCAACTCGCTGGCCACTCGCGCGTGCCGAGGATGTCATCTCTGGAAACGATGACCTCGTATGCGTTGTGACAATGCGATCGGACTCCCGTATGTTTCACAGGGCCGTTATCAAGGTTGTTCCATTGCTCGTCCACACAGATGCCGATGCACACGGTTCTTCATAAAATTCTTCACGAATTCACTACGACGTTGTCATGGCGGGCGGCCTATTACAACTGAGCCGATGAATGGCTTACCGCGCGACGGATATCATCTGACGCGCGTCCCCACTATGACGTCTCCTAGCACACCATGTGTAGCGTTGTCGTTCCCACCGTAAAGAAATTTCGACCTGACCTTATCACCTGACACCGAACACGACATTCGTTCACGTATCGGTCAGTCTCTCCGAATGGTTTCCGTAACCGTTTCGTTGGCCCCTGTAGTTTTGCATTTACATCTATTTTGTCTTACAATTAGACACTCGGTAACGTTTCAAGTTGGAAACGCCCGTGCATCTAAACCAAATATTAATTAAGTATGTATTTAGTATATAAAGTTGTAACAATAGTACTAAACATATTTGCGATATTAATAGTTATATTTTAGTTTGTGTATTCTGTTGGTCAATGGTCCATCAAGTTTCTGGTTGCGCCGCTAACATGGTTGATCCTGTTTAGGTGCTTTGCAACACCGTGAAGTACGAAACCGATGTTTTTAAGATCTGAAAATCGTGATATCGTTTGAACGAGGTATTTTCGAAGTAACAGGAGACTATTTTGGAAGCAGCAGTTACAGATGTGTCACCTCCGAGAAACTTTGTAAATTTAGTACAATGAGTCCACCGGCTGTTAATTTAGGAGGGCTCAAGCAACTTCTTAATGTCAGTACGAACAATGATTGTACTTTTTTGTCGCTTTCATACCACTCTGCTTCGTATCTGAAAACGATGGTAAATTCGAACCTCCATGCCTGGGATTAATTTTTGTTTAACTTGCAAATTCGTGGCACAGTCGTATTGGACTTATTATCAGAATTTATTTGTATCTTGGAATTATTCGTCACTCACATCGTGTCTGAGAATTCGTTTACTGAATCCACTACGCATTGTCCTTGCATCGACATGTAGAATATGTGCATTAGTTGGATCAAGAGGAAGGTACAATCCTTGAAAAATTCGGGGCCAACTTCCATGTTGGATATCTGTTTTTGCAGTACAATTCGTGCAACGATGATGACTCCTGTGGAACGATTTTGTAGACGGAAAATGCTTACCTTCACTAAAGTGACGCTGAAGGCCATCATCACGAAACCAATCAAAATGAAGAGGTACTCGACGTGGGCCTCTTGGAGCGTACGCAAATATCTGTTTCGAAACCATTGAAATGAGATCGACAAATCTCCGTTAATGAAGCCAATTAATATAATTATTGCGTACAATTACGCCTGTTGATAAATGTCACAAGTTTTCAAACATTATTTCTACTTATTACTATGTACACAGTCTCTTTCTATAAGCAATACAATGATATGTAGAATTGTGTCCGATAATTTGAATGAAACGATTTATTGTCATCCGGGCATAACGCGTTGAGGAGGCCAAGATTTTACGAGAATACTTTTACGCTTTTCATAAAAATGATAAAGTGAAAACTATTCAAAATGATAAATGAATTATAATACTTACTCTAAAGCATACTGGTGTCCTTCAATTGCCAAACGTATTTTTTTGTACTGCCGATCGTGGAGGTACTCCTTTTCGTAGAAGCTCTCCGGTTCTGCAACCGCCGCCTTGAAACGGTGTCTGCGAATTCGAATTCTCTGATCCATGTCCCATGCATTCACCAAAAACGATTTTCTCAAATCTTACCCGGCGACGGCTAGGAGCCCGCAACCGTGTTGCACGAAGTACGCGTAACTCGTGTCGCACGCTACGTACACGTAGAAAACCATCGCGATTACTAGTATCATGTGTATGGTTATCGGTATGTAATACTTCTCTTCATCGAGGGCGAAGTAAGCCGGGTAAACGTAGCCTAATTCGCGGGACTCGTTTTTCGGCATGAAGATGTCCAGGATGCGCGGTGTCAGCGGAGTTTGAATAAACAGTGCGTAGCAGCAATAGCAATTAACTGTAAATGGATTACAGTACATCGTGAAACTGAATTAAAACTAATTTACGATATTAATTCAACATCTTAATCGCAGGATCGTTCAAACACGGTTTGATCAAATTTTTCTTGCGTGTTATTTTTGTTCAGTTTTGTGACCACGAAAAATATGAACGGTTGGTAGGATTCGCTGCTTACATAAGTAAAACTGAGTATAAAAGACACCCCTTCCTGCGTACTTCTCCAAGATGTCGAACTCGGCCTGCGGCCTCTTGGTACTGAAGTCTCTTCTGATGCAGTCGAGAAACATTTTGTACTGTAATTCGATCAGCCACGTAGATTTAATTATTCGAAAGATTTGGAATGGGAAGGACACATTACCTCTCTGCTGCGGACTGTGTAGAGGCCGTATTTCAGCATCATCACGCACGCCGCGCCGAAGTAAGATAATTGTTCCAACATGACATCGATACTGAACAAAATGTATACCCTTGCAATCTACAATTTGTGTTTCGTTAAATTTGAATACAACTGTTATAGTACACTCTATTCTATTTATAATAATGCAAAACCTCTGCATGTGATTAACAAAATAATCAGTTATTTAACTACGTATGAATTAAATGATATCAATCTGATAACGATTACATGAAGAGTGAGTTGTCCGTAGAAACATCATCCTATTATTAACAGAATAAATGATGTAATGATCATGACTCGTTTACATACCATACTGCCGGCACATGCTATAAAGCTAAGGTACGTGTATACTTGTATACAGATTTTTGAACAATGACTCTGCTCTGGCCAAATACTGGTTAGTATGGCGCAAGTTTTAATGACCGACATATACTTGTTCTCCAACGTCACTGAATCCATCATGAAAATGAATTGTGGTCGAGATTTAGACCGAAGAGTGAAGGATGACTGGTGCACTTGGAAATCACTACAGCCTACTTGCTCTATTCTCTATAAAGAATTCACATGTTCCAATAACTCGCATAATAGAAACATGAGCAGCCACTGGAGTTCCACGGTGAGGACGAAACGAGTTAATTACTAATTCACATATTTTACGCGGACACCTGTTCTATAGTTCAGATGTCCGTTTCCCGAGCAGCATGCTTTCGTAAGAAAATATTAATTGCTCGTACATGGAAGAAGTACCATCGATAGTTAGTGAATAAAACTATGTAATTATCGTTAAGAATTAACACGTACTGCTCAATACAAAGTATCTGATACTGAGGTAGGCCGGTAGGAAAAAGCCATCCTGCTAGTTAAACGTGTCGTGTCAATCATTCGTTACGTTTTCCCAGAGCGAACATCTGTCGTTCATTCTTTTGTAATATATAACAAAATTATTTGCATTGTTCGTGATTTTGGAGGAGTACTCATTAACTTTATTCACCTACATATCTCTTCAAGAGGAAATGGGTAAAAGGACGGAGTCTGAGACTGGATTAAATCTGTAAGATTCATTTGATCTGTAACTTGATGTGATCGGTTTTTTGCATGTACGTACATATATATCTACCTTTGAAGACAAGGGGTAAAAGGATAAATTAAATCTATAAGCTTCATGAATAAATAGTTCATCATTCGTTTATATATTTATTGATGAAAAAGTGCTGATAACATATTTAAGACAATATATTCTCACAATCCGTATTGCTCTAGGTATGTAATTACAACGAAATTCATAAATACCGAATAATGTGTGTAAAGCACGATAACAATAATTACGCACATGTTTGCTACCATTTAAAAATTTCTGTAGGCTAGAAGAATTACCTTTGTAATTGTTTACGAACATTAATTTGTTGTTAATTTAAACACTATGAAAAGCGTTTCATTGGCCTGTCCTTCAACGATAATGTAAATGTATCATCATTCTGACTTATGGAGCATCAGAATTTCGATCATTTTATTTTACACATTTATCTCAGTACTGTATAATATGAAACAGATGCCTTTATCACCTGTAAACAGTAATCTCTATTAAATATAGGAAAACACAATCCACTTCGTACAGACAGTATCACATTTTACTTCCGAAAAGCTTTGCATATTCATATTTAGCAATCCACCGGCTGTCAAACGAATTGGTTTTAACATTCTCCGTAACGCTAAAACATACAGTAATTGTGTTTTCGCGTTTGCGTTGTACCACAATCCTTTGTAGCTGAAAATATCGTTGCTGTTACATTGGACATGTTTCACATCAAATTGTCACGTAAAGAAACTTCATTGAGAACGATGTATACACGTCTGGACTGTATTTGCTCGTTAATACGTGTTTACGTGGTACTCACATGCTATTGTAAAGATTGTCACAACCATTTTCCACGAACTGGCCTTGAATCGTTAGGTAAAATAGATGCATTAACTGCGCGATCAAAAAGCTGCATACTTTGTAAAACTCCACGTTAACGTCCATAGTGACCACCTAATTTCCGAAGAGTTTACGTGAAACGTGGAAACATGTGGAATTGCTGGGTGATCTTACCTGTACTAATGTAACACTAAAGCAGCAAACCACTAGGCCTATGCATAAGAAAAGATATGTAGCATGTGTATTTTCTATTTCCTCGACATACCTATTAAATTCGTTTTTTACGTATCAGATAAATTGTTGAGAGAAAACAAAGAGGACAAAATGAATTGAAAAATTAGATTGTGACACTGACTTTATAGCTCGCTGTTGTGCTTGTATGGAAAAGTGTACTCTTTCAATACGTGTCATCTGTTTCTCCGAGTTTTTAGCAGCGTTGGATGAAGAGGGCTCGATGTGTTTGAACCGATATCTGAAAGCATGGGTGTGCAATAGAAAGCTATAACGCCAGCAGTACACTCTCGCCAAATATCTCGGCGAGACGTTTACCGAGTCGAGTGCTACCCGCTTGCCTCGCCTCGGTTTGGTTCGGCCTGATTCGAGTCTTGAAGTTCTTGCACTTTTGTGACATGGGTGTCATTCTTGAATTTGCTGCTCGCTCTCGCGGTTTGTGATGAAAAAACCATCAGTTCGAATCCGAGGACTGATGAGGTGAGACGAGAATACGCGAGGCGAACGCGATGTATGTACACGCTCGACTGCTCTCGCCTTGTCTTCACAAGGCTGCCAGCAGCATGATTTAGTTGACAGACTTGTTTCATGCGAGTATTGGAGTATTAAATATAATACGAGTGTATTATATTATTGTAATTTTAAGCTGGGAACATTGTCTCTTACCATAATAATTTCTGATACGTGAATCAGGTGTTCATTATCACTCGACAGACATAATAAAACTAATAGATTTCAAGATTTGTGTTTCTTACCCAGCTACAGCCAATAATGCGCAAGCGTGTTGTACGATGATCGTGAAAATCGTGTCGCAAGCTCCGTACACAATGAGCACAGATATTATAGCCAGGCTGCCATGCAATTGAGCAACGTAAAAAATGTCGGCTTCGTCGACAAAATAGTAGGTCGGTACAATATATATCATCGGCGTCGTGTTATAAGATTTCAGCTTTGCTATGAGACGCACTGTCCATGGTACTTGCAGGAACAGGATAGTGCAGACAACTGCGTTCGCTGCGAATTAATTCACATAAGTCACTTTCAAATAATCGGACATACAGAGTCGATCATTTTGTCATAAGTTATTAAATCAGCAAGCTCGAGCAGTTCTTTCTTCAATCTGACCTAAATAAAACATCGTAAGCAAAGCACCCCTTTTCACATATTTCGTCATAATGGCGATTTCGTGGTCTGATCGATTATCAGTCCAGTCCTGATACATGCCCTTTAAGAGCCACTTGAACTACAATATTTGCATGATTATAGAAATAAAACGTGTATGTAATCGTAAACGACAAACGTTTACTTACCTCTGCTGCATTGAGAACATAATTTCCATGTTTAGTGAAAAATATAAAACTTGCGCCTAGTAGGGGCACATCGTCTAAGAAAGCGCTTACAGTCTTTTCGTACACGATTTTTGTTATCTGAAATCAATATTAAATGCAGAAGTACTCATGGTCAGTTATAAAGCTTATGTTATGATATTCACTATTATTAGCTCTTCTGTATTTCATTTCGACGCATAATAGGTCAGAAATTGAGAGTAATCTCCCTTATCATTGATGCTCACCTGAACAATTGTAATTGACACCATTTCGAGATAAAGGAGGAACCACGCTATGCACTTTACACATTTATTTTGATCAGGCCATATCCCTGCCCATTGGCCGAACCGTTTAGTAACTCTCAAGTATCGTTTCTCGAATGTGACGAAGTCCATAATACAAATAAATGCGATCTATGTCGGTTGAAACATTAGGGGTGAACTGTCAAAAATGTCTCTTTTATCGGTTTAACTATAGGAGAACACGACATTCGGGCTATATGTGAGCATGCAATATGTATCTTCTGGGTCGAGAGTGAATTTTAATAATGCTGGTGCACTTGGAAATTACTACATCCTGCTTCCTCTATACTCTATAAAGAATTCACATATTCCAGTAATTCGCATAATAGAAACATAAGCAGCCACTGGGATTCCACGGTGAGGGCGAAACGAGTGAATTACTAATTCATGTATTTTACACGGACACCTTGTCTGCAGTTCAGATGTTCGTTTCTAGAGAAGCATGCTTTCGTAAGCAACTATCAATTTCTTGAATATGGAAAAAGAACCATCGATAGTTACTGAATGGAACTATGTACTTATCGTTAAATAGTTAACGCGTACTGCTCAATTTGATGTATCTGATACTGAGGTAGTCGGTAGGAAAAAGCCATCCTGCTAGTTAAACGTGTCGTGTGAATTATTCGTTACGTTCTCGCAGGGTGAACATCTGTCGTTCATTCTTTTGTAATATATAACTAAATTATTTGCATGGTTAACTTTATCCACGTACATATCTCTTCAAAAGGAAATGGGTAAAAGGACGGAGTCTGAAACTGGATTAAATCTGTAAGATTCATTTGATCTGTAACTTGATGTGATCGGTTTTGTGCATGTACGTACATATGTATCTACCTTGGAAGACTAGGGGTAAAAAGATAAATTAAATCTATAAGTTTCATGAACAAATAGTTCACCATTCGTTTATATATTTATTGATGAAAAAGTGCTGATAACATATTTAAGACAATATATTCTCACAATCCGTATTGCTCTAGGTATGTAATTACAACGAAATTCATAAATACCGAATAATGTGTGTAAAGCACGATAACAATAATTACGCACATGTTTGCTACCATTTAAAAATTTCTGTAGGCTAGAAGAATTACCTTTGTAATTGTTTACGAACATTAATTTGTTGTTAATTTAAACACTATGAAAAGCGTTTCATTGGCCTGTCCTTCAACGATAATGTAAATGTATCATCATTCTGACTTATGGAGCATCAGAATTTCGATCATTTTATTTTACACATTTATCTCAGTACTGTATAATATGAAACAGATGCCTTTATCACCTGTAAACAGTAATCTCTATTAAATATAGGAAAACACAATCCACTTCGTACAGACAGTATCACATTTTACTTCTGAAAAGCTTTGCATATTCATATTTAGCAATCCACCGGCTGTCAAACGAATTGGTTTTAACATTCTCCGTAACGCTAAAACATACAGTAATTGTGTTTTCGCGTTTGCGTTGTACCATAATCCTTCGTAGCTGAAAATTTCGAGGCTGTTAAATCGGACATGTCTGACTTCACATTGTCACGTAAAGAAACTTCATTGAGGACGATGTATACAAGTCTGAACTGTATTTGCTCGTTAATTCGTATTTACGTGGTACTCACATGTTAATGTGAAGATTCTCACAAACATTTTCCACGAACTGGCCTTGAATCGTTAGGTAAAATAGATGCATTAACTGCACGAACAAAAAGCTGCATTCTTTGTAAAACTCCACGCTAACCTCCATACTAACCACCTAATTTCCGAAGACTTTACGTGAAACGTGGAAACATATGGAATTGCTGGGTGATCTTACCTGTACTAATGTAACAGTAAAGCAGCAAACCACTAGGCCCATGCATAAGAAAAGATAGGTAGCATGTACATTTTCTATTTCCTCGACATACCTATTAGATTCGTTTTTTATGTATCAGACAAATTGTCGATAGATGACAGAGAGGACAAAATTAATTGAAAAATTAGATTGTGACACTGACTTTATAGCTCGCTGGTGTGCTTGTATGGAAAAGTGTACTTTTTCAGTACGTGTTATCTGTTCCTCCGAATTTGTAGTAGCGTTGATTGAACCGGGCTCGATGTGTTTGAACCGATATCTGAAAGCATGGGTGTGCACTAGAAAGCTATAACGCTAGCAATACACTCTCGCCAAATATCTCGGCGAGACGTTTACCGGGGCGAGTGCTACCCGCTTGCCTCGCCTCAGTTTGGTTCTCCCTGACTCGAGTCTTGAAGTTATTGCACTTTTGTGACATGGGTGACAAATAATCGGAAATTCAGAGTCGATCATTTGTCATAAGGTATTAAATCAGCTAGCTCGAGCAATTGTTTCTTCAATCTCACCTAAATAAAACATCGTAAGCAAAGCACCCCTGTTCGCATATTTCGTCATAATAGCGATTTCGTGGTCTGATCGATTAACAGCCCAGTCCTGATACATACCCATTAAGAGCGACTTAAACTACAATATTTGCATGATTATAGAAATAAAACATGTATGTAATCGTAAACGACAACCGTTTACTCACCTCTGCTGCATTGAGAATATAATTACCGTGTTTAATGAATAATAAAATACTCGCGGCTAGTAGAGGCAAATCGTCTAAGAAAGCGTTTACAGTTTTTAAATGCACGATTTTTGTTATCTGAAATCAATATTAAATGCAGCAGTAGTCATGGTCAGTTATGAAGCTTATGTTATGTTATTCACTATTATTAGCTCTTCTGTATTTCATTTCAACGCATAATAGGTCGGAAATTGAGAGAAATCTCCCTCATCATTGATGCTCACTTGAACTACCGTGATCGACACCATTTCGATGTAAATAAAGATCCATGCTATGCACTTTTCACATTTATTTTGATCAGGCCATATCCCTGCCCAGTGGCTGAACCTTTTAGTGGCTCTCAAGTATCGTTTCTCGAATGTGACAAAGTCCATAGCACAAATGAATGCGATTTATGTCGGTTGAAACATTAGGGGTGAACTATCAGAAATGTCTCTTTTATCGCGTTTTAACTATGGGAGAGCACGACATTCGGGCTATATATGAGCATGCAATATGTATCTTGCGGATCGAGAGTGCATTTTAATAATGCACTAATCTTTAATAGCTTCACTCAAGAACGAACAATCTTCTATCATTATATAAATCGATACATACACTAATGCATTTCAAATCTATTACTCTGTCATTATAGCAATTCGAACTTTTCGAACACTTTATTTACCTCCGTACTGTGCGAGATGGTTTACAGTTTGAATATATATTTAGATATGAAACGCAAGTTATACTTGAGACTGATAATTGACAGTCTAGCCTAAAGTACTTTGTCTTAATCGTATATAGTAATGTTCGAGTTGATTGCTTAACTGTGTAATATGAAACTGAACTGAAATGAATGATCTGAAAGAAAGAAGTTTTCATCAACAACTGATACTAGCTGGTAATGTAAAAAATCGTTCTTCATCAGAATTTATTAAAACAATGAATTCGTTTGTATTTAACTTACATCGCGATGGAAATATCGTCTTGACGCGTTTATCACGAACTGGCCATGGACGGTTAAAACGAATACGTGAAACAGTTGGACGAGTAGAAACATGCAATATATTAGCCATTGCGAGTTATGATTGTTCACTGTCACCTGAAATCAAACAATCATATCACTATTTTCTTCCTGAATAGAGAATAATTCTATCATCTCTGCGACTGACTCAGCTTCGAAGCTGCACAGCTAAAATTGTAGACTTTCAACCAAAAAATTTGTACCTTTAACAACGACACGCTGACCGCTGTGATAAACATCCTCATTGAAATGAACAAATAAGTATGGTGACTGTTTTCGATTATCTGCACGTATCTATATCGATAGAATTAGAACGATCGAATTAGATATGCGATTCTGCAAAGGTTGATAACATGGAAATACCAACTTTATTGCGTGTTGATGGGCCTGAATTGAATGACACACGTTTTTATATATCATTTCCACTGACATTTCTATGTCTCCCTCGTCGGGAGAGGGTAAATTTTTGCACACGTTTCTGTCATATTCAAGCATATATGCTAATATAATATAGTAGTGTTCCTCTTCGTTGAAGGCGTAGTAAGCCGGATAGATGAACCCCACGCCACGCGACTCATTTCTCGGTGAGACGATGTCTAGGATGCGAGGTGTGACGGCCACAAGCGTGAATATTATGTAGCAAAAGCATCCGTTCGCTATTAGAAAAGAAAGACAAGTTTTAATAATTGTTCCGTACGGAACAGTTAAATCCATGGGAATTTCGTTGAAGAATTTATGACAAGTACTTGTGGACAAGGCTATTTTTAAATCGGAAATTCAGAGTCGATCATTTGTCATAAGGTATTAAATCAGCAAGCTCGAGCAGTTCTTTCTTCAATCTCACCTAAATAAAACATCGTAAGCAAAGCACCCCTTTTCACATATTTCGTCATAATGGCGATTTCGTGGTCTGATCGATTAACAGTCCAGTCTTGATACATGCCCTTTAAGAGCCACTTGAACTACAATATTTGCATGATTATAGAAATAAAACATGTATGTAATCGTAAACGACAAATATTTACTTACCTCTGTTGCATTGAGAATATAATTTCCATGTTTAATGAATAATGTAATATCCGCTGATAGTAGCGTGAGATTGTCTAAGAAAACGTCCATATTCTTAAAGTGCACGATTCTCGCTATCTGAAATCAGTATTAAATACAGAAGTATTCATGGTCAGTGTTATGAACCTTATGCTATGTTATTCACTATTATTAGCTCTTCTGTATTTCATTTCGACGCATAATAGGTCGGAAATTGAGAGAAATCTCCCTCATCATTGATGCTCACTTGAACTACCGTGATCGACACCATTTCGAGGTAAATAAGGATCCACGCTATGCACTTTCCACATTTATTTTGATCAGGCCATATCCCTGCCCAGTGGCTGAACCTTTTAGTGGCTCTCAAGTATCGTTTCTCGAATGTGACAAAGTCCATAACACAAATAAATGCGATTTATGTCGGTTGAAACATTAGGGGTGAACTATCAGAAATGTCTCTTTTATCGCGTTTTAACTATGGGAGAGCACGACATTCGGGCTATATGTATGTATATGAGCATGCAATATGTATCTTGCGGATCGAGAGTGCATTTTAATAATGCACTAATATTTAATAGCTTCACTCAAGAAGGAACAATCTTCTATCATTATATAAATCGATACATACACTAATGCATTTCAAATCTATTACTCTGTCATTATAGCAATTCGAACTTTTCGAACACTTTATTTACCTCCGTACTGTGCGAGATGGTTTACAGTTTGAATATATATTTAGATATGAAACGCAAGTTATACTTGAGACTGATAATTGACAGTCTAGCCTAAAGTACTTTGTCTTAATCGTATATAGTAATGTTCGAGTTGATTGCTTAACTGTGTAATATGAAACTGAACTGAAATGAATGATCAGAAAGAAAGAAGTTTTCATCAACAACTGATACTAGCTGGTAATGTAGTAAAAAATCGTTCTTCATCAGAATTTATTAAAACAATGAATTCGTTTGTATTTAACTTACATCGCGATGGAAATATCGTCTTGACGCGTTTATCACGAACTGGCCCTGGACGGTTAAAACGAATACGTGAAACAGTTGGACGAGTAGAAACATGCAGTATATTAGCCATTGCGAGTGATGATTGTTCACTGTCACCTGAAATCAAACAATCATATCACTATTTTCTTCCTGAATAGAGAATAATTCTATCATCTCTGCGACTGACTCAGCTTCGAAGCTGCACAGCTAAAAAATGTAGACTTTCAACCAAAAAATTTGTACCTTTAAGACGAGACGAGAATACGCGAGGCGAACGCGATGTAAGTACACGCTCGACTGTTCTCGCCTTTTCTTGACAAGGCTACCAGCATCATGATTTAGTTGACAGACTTGTTTCATGCGAGTATTGGAGTATTAAATATAATACGAGTGTATTATATTATTTTATGTTTAAGCTGGGAATATTGTCTCTTACCATAATAATTTCTGATACGTGAATCAGGTGTTCATTATCATTCGTCAGACATAATAAAACTAACAGATTTCAAGATTTGTTTCTTACCCAGCTACAGCCAATAATCCGCAAGCGTGTTGTACGATGATCGTGAAAATCGTGTCGCAAGCTCCGTACACGATGAGCACAGTTATTATAGCCAGGCTGCCATGCACTTGAGCAAAGTAAAAAATGTCGGCTTCGTCGACGAAATAGTAGCTCGGTACAATATATATCATCGGCGTCGTGTTATAAGATTTCAGCTTTGCTATGAGACGCACTGTCCATGGTACTTGCAGGAACAGGATAGTACAGACGACTGCGTTCGCTGCGGATTCATTCACATAAGTCACGTTCAAATAATCGGAAATTCAGAGTCGATCATTTGTCATAAGGTATTAAATCAGTAAGCTCGAGCAGTTCTTTCTTCAATCTCACCTAAATAAAACATCGTAAGCAAAGCACCCCTTTTCACATATTTCGTCATAATGGCGATTTCGTGGTCTGATCGATTAACAGTCCAGTCCTGATACATGCCCTTTAAGAGCCACTTGAACTACAATATTTGCATGATTATAGAAATAAAACATGTATCTAATCGTAAACGACAAATATTTACTTACCTCTGTTGCATTGAGAATATAATTTCCATGTTTAATGAATAATGTAATATCCGCTGATAGTAGCGTGAGATTGTCTAAGAAAACGTCCATATTCTTAAAGTGCACGATTCTCGCTATCTGAAATCAGTATTAAATACAGAAGTATTCATGGTCAGTGTTATGAACCTTATGCTATGTTATTCACTATTATTAGCTCTTCTGTATTTCATTTCGACGCATAATAGGTCGGAAATTGAGAGAAATCTCCCTCATCATTGATGCTCACTTGAACTACCGTGATCGACACCATTTCGAGGTAAATAAGGATCCACGCTATGCACTTTCCACATTTATTTTGATCAGGCCATATCCCTGCCCAGTGGCTGAACCTTTTAGTGGCTCTCAAGTATCGTTTCTCGAATGTGACAAAGTCCATAACACAAATAAATGCGATTTATGTCGGTTGAAACATTAGGGGTGAACTATCAGAAATGTCTCTTTTATCGCGTTTTAACTATGGGAGAGCACGACATTCGGGCTATATGTATGTATATGAGCATGCAATATGTATCTTGCGGATCGAGAGTGCATTTTAATAATGCACTAATATTTAATAGCTTCACTCAAGAAGGAACAATCTTCTATCATTATATAAATCGATACATACACTAATGCATTTCAAATCTATTACTCTGTCATTATAGCAATTCGAACTTTTCGAACACTTTATTTACCTCCGTACTGTGCGAGATGGTTTACAGTTTGAATATATATTTAGATATGAAACGCAAGTTATACTTGAGACTGATAATTGACAGTCTAGCCTAAAGTACTTTGTCTTAATCGTATATAGTAATGTTCGAGTTGATTGCTTAACTGTGTAATATGAAACTGAACTGAAATGAATGATCTGAAAGAAAGAAGTTTTCATCAACAACTGATACTAGCTGGTAATGTAAAAAATCGTTCTTCATCAGAATTTATTAAAACAATGAATTCGTTTGTATTTAACTTACATCGCGATGGAAATATCGTCTTGACGCGTTTATCACGAACTGGCCATGGACGGTTAAAACGAATACGTGAAACAGTTGGACGAGTAGAAACATGCAATATATTAGCCATTGCGAGTTATGATTGTTCACTGTCACCTGAAATCAAACAATCATATCACTATTTTCTTCCTGAATAGAGAATAATTCTATCATCTCTGCGACTGACTCAGCTTCGAAGCTGCACAGCTAAAATTGTAGACTTTCAACCAAAAAATTTGTACCTTTAACAACGACACGCTGACCGCTGTGATAAACATCCTCATTGAAATGAACAAATAAGTATGGTGACTGTTTTCGATTATCTGCACGTATCTATATCGATAGAATTAGAACGATCGAATTAGATATGCGATTCTGCAAAGGTTGATAACATGGAAATACCAACTTTATTGCGTGTTGATGGGCCTGAATTGAATGACACACGTTTTTATATATCATTTCCACTGACATTTCTATGTCTCCCTCGTCGGGAGAGGGTAAATTTTTGCACACGTTTCTGTCATATTCAAGCATATATGCTAATATAATATAGTAGTGTTCCTCTTCGTTGAAGGCGTAGTAAGCCGGATAGATGAACCCCACGCCACGCGACTCATTTCTCGGTGAGACGATGTCTAGGATGCGAGGTGTGACGGCCACAAGCGTGAATATTATGTAGCAAAAGCATCCGTTCGCTATTAGAAAAGAAAGACAAGTTTTAATAATTGTTCCGTACGGAACAGTTAAATCCATGGGAATTTCGTTGAAGAATTTATGACAAGTACTTGTGGACAAGGCTATTTTTGAAGATTTAGAATATTTCCAAGCGTCGTCGATTGTTTCTTTAATTTAGTATGGTATGAGTTTTTTCGGTTAACGTTTCCATTTTATTCCGCGATAGCCGACCTTGTCATTAACTAAGGTTCCGAAGGGTATATGTAAGTGGGTAAGCGTTCAACTGTAACGATTCACCATGTGACGACCACCTGGACGAACTTTCCGCGTTCGGCCGATTCTTCGAATACTTCACATGTCCGGGGATGGCCAGCTCTCGCTTTTATACGTAAAGAGGGGCTTAGATTTATATACTTCTATGAGCGAGTACAAAAATTTGGGTATTATATAAGATTTCTATACATATATGCACTGAAACCTTGAATAAATCCCTTAAATCATTATATTATATTATGGCATTTATTGAAATAGCTTGTTCGATGATTCATGTATATTACTGTATCAAATATTAATTAGGTATATATTTAGTATATAAAGTTGTAACAACAGTATTAAACATGTTTACAATATTAATAACTATATTTTAGTTTTTGTATCCTGTTAGTCAATAGTCCATCATGTTTCTGGTTGTACCACTAACATGGTTGATTCTATTTAGGTGGTTTGCAACACCGTGAAGTACGAAACCGATGCTTTTAAGATCTGAAAATCGTGATATCGTTTGAACGAGGTATTTTCGAAGTAACAGGAGATTATTTTGGAAGCAGTAGTTACAGATGCGTCACCTCCGAGAAACTTTGCAAATTTAGTACAATGAGTCCACCGGCTGTTAATTTAGGAGGGTTCAAACAACTTCTTATTGCCAGTACGAGCAATGATTGTACTTTTTTGTCGCTTTCATACCACTCTGCATTGTATCTGAAAACGATGGTAAATTTGAACGTCTATGCTTGGGACTAATTTTTGTTTAACTTGTAAATTCGTGGCACAGTCGTATTGAACTTATCATCAGAATTTAATTGCATCCTGGAATTATTCTTCACTCACATCGTGTCTGAGAATTCGTTTACTGAATCCACTACGCATTGTCCTTGCATCGACATGTAGAATATGTGCATTAGTTGGATCAAGAGGAAGGTACAATCCTTGAAAAATTCGGGGCTAACTTCCATGTTGGATATCTGTTTTCGCAAAATTAAAATTCGTGCAACGATTGTGACTCTTGTGGAACGATTTTGTAGACGGAAAATGCTTACCTTCACTAAAGTGACGCTGAAGGTCATCATCACGAAACCGATCAAAATGAAGAGGTATTCGACGTGGGCCTCTTGAATCGCATGCAAATATCTGTTTCGAAGCCATTAAAATGAGATCAACAAATCTCCGTTACTGAAGCGAATTAATATAATTATTGCGTACAATTACGCTGGTTGATAAATATCGCAATTTTTCAAACATTATCTTTACTTTATGTATATACTCTCTTTCTATAATTAATACAATAATATGGAGAATTGTGTCCGATAATTTGAAGGAAAAGATTTATTGTCATCCGGGCATAACACGTTGAGGAGGCCAAGATTTACGAAAATACTTTTACGCTCTTCATAAAAATGATAAAATGAAAACTATTCAGAATCATACATGAATTATAATACTGACGCTAAAGCATACTGGTGTCCTTGTATCGCGAAACGTATTTTTTTGTACTGGCGATCGTGGAGGTACTCCTTTTCGTAGAAGCTCTCCGGTTCTGCAACCGCCGCCTTGAAACGGTGTCTGCGAATTCGAATTCTCTGATCCATGTCCCATGCATTCACCAAAAACGATTTTCTCAAATCTTACCCGGCGACGGCTAGGAGCCCGCAACCGTGTTGCACAAAGAACGCGAAACTTGTGTCGCACGCTACGTACACGTAGAACACCATCGCGATTACCAGTATCATATGTACGGTTATCGGTATGTAATACTTCTCTTCATCGATGGGGAAGTAAGCCGGGTAAACGTAGCCTAATTTGCGGGACTCGTTTTTCGGCATGAAGATGTCCAGGATGCGCGGTGTCAGCGGAGTTTGAATAAACAGTGCGTAGCAGCAATAGCAATTAACTGTAAATGGATTACAGTACATCGTGAAACTGAATTAAAACTAATTTACGATATTAATTCAACATCTTAATCGCAGGATCGTTCAAACACGGTTTGATCAAATTTTTCTTGCGTGTTATTTTTGTTCAGTTTTGTGACCACGAAAAATATGAACGGTTGGTAGAATTCGCTGCTTACATAAGTAGAACTGAGTATAAAAGACACCCCTTCCTGCGTACTTCTCCAAGATGTCGAACTCGGCCTGCGGCCTCTTGGCACTGAAGTCTCTTCTGATGCAGCCGAGAAACATTTTGTACTGTAATTCGATCAGCCGCGTAGATTTAATTATTGGAAAGATTTGGAATGGGAAGAACAGTTTACCTCCCTGCTGCGGATTGCGTAGAGGCCGTATTTCAGCATAATCCCGCATGCCGCGCCGAAGTAAGATAATTGCTCCAACATGATATCGATACTGAACAAAACGATTATCCTTCCAATCTATAATTTGTGTTTCGTTAAATTTGGACACAACTGTTTTAGTATATGCTATTCTATTTATTCTAATACAAAACGTCTGTTTGTAATTAACAATATAATCAATTATTTAACTATGTATGTATTAAATGATATCTGATGATGATTACATGAAGAGTAATCTGTGTTGTTGATGTTAATCGTGAGTTGACTAGCGTCCGTATATACATCATCACATTATTATCAGAATCAATGATGTAACGATTATGACATTCATTACATACTTACCATAGTGCTGATACACGCTAGAAAGGAAACGTACGTGTATGCTCGTATAAGCATTCTCGAACGATAACTCTGTTCTGGCCAGATACCGGCCAGTATGGCACACGTTTTAATGACCGACATATAATTGTTCTCCAACGTTACTGGATCCATCATGAAAATGAATTGTGATCGAGATTTGGACCGAAGAGTGAAGGATGACTGGTGCACTTGGAAATCACTACAGCCTACTTGCTCTATTCTCTATAAAGAATTCACATGTTCCAATAACTCGCATAATGGGAACGTGAACAGCTACTGAGATTGCACGGTTAGGGCGAAACGAGTTAATTACTAATTCACATATTTTACGCGGACACCTGTTCTATAGTTCAGATGTCCGTTTCCCGAGCAGCATGCTTTCGTAAGGAAATATTAATTGCTCGTACATGGAAAAAGAACCATCGATAGTTAGTGAATAAAACTATGTAATTATCGTTAAAAATTAACGCGTACTGCTCAATACAAAGTATCTGATACTGAGGTAGGCCAGTAGGAAAAAGCCATCCTGCTAGTTAAACGTGTCGTGTCAATCAGTTGTTACGTTCTCGCGGTGCGAACATCTGTCGTTCATTCCTTTGTAATAATTAACTAAATTATTTGCATGCTTCTTGAGTTTGGAAGTGTCGTCATTAGTTTTATCCACGTATATATCTCTTCGAAAGGAAGTGGCTAAAAGGACGGAGTCTGAAACTGGATTAAATCTGTAAGATTCATTATATCTGTAACTTATCGGTAGCATAGTTTATTGTATTTTGTTCTTTTTAATCGTACATTAACATTTACGTCGACTGCATAACTGTATAATAAGAAACGGATGCTTTGATGATCTGAAAGAAAGAAATTTTCATAGGCAAAAATACTTTTGATATTTTCAGGGGTTTGGTATGAAATCACTTTGAGCTACCTCCGCGAAAGATCGTAAACTTAGCGTTATCAGGCCACCGGCTGTTAACAGAGGAGGTTTCAGACAACATCTTAACGATAACACGTATAATAATCGCGTTCTCGGTGTAAGCTTATACCACGGTGATTCGTATCTGCAATGAACGGGATTACAAAAGAATTGAGAACTCGACGAAATCTTGAAACAATTAACAACTGATAGTAGCTAGTAACGCAGCGAAAAATCGTTCCTCATCAGAATTGACTAAAACAATGAATTCGTCTGTACTTAACTTACATCGCTATGGAAATATCGTCTAACGCGTTTATCACGAACTGGCCTTGGACGGTTAAAACGAATACGTGAAACAGTTGGGCGAGTAAAAACATAAAATACATCATCCATTGCGTGTTGTCATGACGCCCTGCCACCTGAATTCAAACGATCGTGTCACTATTCTCTTCCCGAATAAAAAATAATTCTGGGGTTGATTCAACTTCGAAACTGTACAGCTAGGAAATACAAACGATCGACTAAAAAATTTGTACCTTCAACAACGACACGCTGACCGCTGTTATAAGCATCCCCATTGAAATGAACAAATAAGTATGGTGACTGTTTTCGATTATCTGCAGATATCTATATCGACAGAATCAGAACGTTCGAATTAGATGTGTGATTCTCCAAATTTTGATAATATGGAAATACTAACTTTATAGCGTGCTGATGAGCTTTAATTGAATGGCACACGTTTTTATATTGCACTTCCTCTGACATTTCTATGTCATCTCCCTCGTCGGGAGAGGGTAAATTTTTGCACACGTTTCCAAATCGGTGTCTATAAACATGTTAAGCGGTCATTGAAATCTGCGGCGCGTTGTCTTCGTCATAAAAGTGATTTGTTCTGAACGAGGTTCAATTTAACAATTATTCGGTTGATCGATTATTTGGGAAAAAATCAAGATTTCGAGTGGCGGATGTGTTTGTTTGGTTTACCTTGCAATAGCCAGCAAACCGCAAGCGTGTTGCACGGCGTACACGTAGTTCGTATCACAGGCGCAGAATATGCAGACTAGGAGGCCGCAGATAATAGTCATGTGCCCGATTATCAGCATGTAATACTCTTCGCTGTTCACCCAGTAGTAGGCCGGATATATGAACAATCGCTTCCGCGATTCATTCAGAGGTACGATGATGTCCAGAACAGGCGGTATCATGCAGAAAAAGATAAAAGACACCACGGCACAGAAAAGATGCACTACAATTAAAAAAAGAAATATTTAAGTATCGTTATAACAGCTGTCATTTCTGCTAAACTATACTTCGGCATTTCTTCCTACAAATATAATACAGTTTTAGTTGGAATCTTCTAAAAGAAGGGATATTATCAATGGTATTATGATATTGTTTTACAAAAATAGCCCAAAGCGACGAGCGATCCTTTTCGCGAGTATGAAACCATAATGTCATATTCGTCTTTCGTGTTTATCGCTGCCCAATCGTTGAATATTTGAGTCAGCATCGGTTTCAACTGCAATTATTCAATATAATTTTCACTGCTTTGAAGACAATGAATAAGGAGTACCCGAAAATAAATAAATCACATCATATTCTTAACAAGTCTTTCGATTGCATTTGTGCTGCTGAAAGGAAGATGTCGAACATATCTTACCTTCGATTCGTTCACCACATAATTACCAACTTTCACAAAGGTTCCGCTCACCGCTATATAGTAAGCTATGCCGTCAACGATTGAGTCCACGCTAGGAAACATCACAATGTGCGCGGTCTGCAATTATATTAGAAGATCAAGCGCAGTTAAAAACTATTGAAGTGCGATGATTTAGATACCAAATCGATGAGCGAATAAAAAATCTTTATAATGATTAGGATAAAAACATGAGTTAATAAACCCTATATACTTGCGTGAAGGTCCCTGTGAACATTATACCAAGGGTAAAGATTTGCACGATTATCTTGATCTTCGGGTTTTGATATGGCCAGACGCCGGTTATTAACCCAAGCGTTTTATTGATCCTCAAAAATCGTTTCTCCACATTTTTCATATCCATGACTGAAGCGCGATTGAAGTCAGCATAGGAGCATATAGATTGAACAAAATCCCGTAATGCTACAAGTCCTATTCGCTAGTTATCATTATTGGAAGCTATAGCACAGATGACAATCGGAAAGTCAAGTGTATCATGTACACGCAAGGTTCGAGACAGACACTTGATTGGTTTCAAAGTGACATATACACATGAAATATTAATGGTTAACTGTGAGGTGTCGTCTTCGACATTATGCAATTTTTATGAATTCTTGTTATCTCAGCTTTTCAGCGATATCTTTGCAAATTGAAAAGCCTCGATGTGGTAGCTTTGTCCTATCGCGCTGTCGCATTTGCTTCGTTCTTCTTACTATGTATACTTATTTCTAAAAATCTTACGCTCGACTGAATTATTAAACCGCTAATAGCGTATAACAAAAATGACAGAGAAGTGAGTAGTGCAAGAAGAGAAGAAGTGAAGACTTAACATTGATTCGAAGAATACAATACACATAGAATTTCTGTCGTGAGTTTGATTCAGAAAGAGAAGTATTATTATTACATACATCTTTATATGATAAAGCAATATCTTTTATATTCACATTGATATAACACTAAAACCAAATTATACATGTACTGTGCTATAGTTATCGCCAAATCGCCGTACTCTTAAGTATAATACAATGTGATCGGTTTTGTGCATGTACGTACATATGTATCTACCTTGGAAGACAAGGGGTAAAAGGATAAATTAAATCTATAAGATTCATGAATAAATGTTTGCTACTATTTAAAAATTTCTGTAGGCAAGAATTACCTTTGTAATTATTTACAAACATTAATTTTAACACTAAATAATTTGTTGTTAATTTGAACACTATGAAAAGTGTTTCATTGGCCTGTCCTTTAACGATAATATAAATGAATCATCATTCTGACTTGTACGCCGTATAGAGCATCAAAATTTTGATCATTTTGTTTTATGTATTTATCTCAGTACTGTATAATATGAAACAGATGCCTTTATCACCTATAAACAGTAATCTCTATTAAATAAATATATTACGAAAACAGAATCCACTTCGTATAGGTAGTATCACACTTTACTTCTGAAAAGCTTTGCATATTCATATTTAGCAATCCGCCGGCTGTCAAACGAGGAGGTATTAACATCCTCCGTAACGCTAAGACATACAGTAATTGTGTTTTCGCGTTTGTGTTATACCACAATCCTTCGTATCTGAAAATTTCGTTGCTGTTACATCAGACATGTTTGACTTCACATTGTCACGTAAAAAAACTTCATTGAGAATGATTTATACAAGTATTGACTGTATTTGTTCGTTAATTCGAGTTTACGTGGTACTCACATGCTACTGTAAAGATTATCACAAACATTTTCCACGAACTGGCCTTGAATCGTTAGGTAAAATAGATGCATTAACTGCACGAACAAAAAGCTGAGGATTTTGTAAAACTCCACGCTGACCTCCATAGTGGCCAACTAATTTCCGAAGAGTTTACGTGAAACGTGGAAACATATGGAATTGCTGGGTGATCTTACCTGTACCAATGTAACACTAAAGCAGCAAACCGCTACGCCTATGCATAAGAAAAGATATGTAGTGTGTGCATTTTCTATTTCCTGGACATACCTATAAAATTCGTATTTTATCTATCAGAAAAAATGTCAAGAAAGAATAGAGAGCACAAAGATAAATGCAAAATTTATATTGTGACACTGACTTTATAGCTCGCTGTTGTGCTCGTATGGAAAAGTGTACTCTTTTATTATGTTCCATCTGTTCTTCCAAAGTGTTAGCAGCGTTGAATGAATAGGGCTCGATGTGTTTGAATCGATATCTGAAAGAATGGGTGTGCAATAGAAAGCTATAACGCCAGCAATACACTCTCGCCAAATATCTCGGCAAGACGTATACCGAGGCGAGTGCTACCCGCTTGCCTCGCCTCGGTTTGGTTCTCCCTGACTCGAGTCTTGAAGTTATTGCACTTTTGTGACATGGGTGTCATTCTTGAATTTGCTGCTCGCTCTCGCGGCTTGTGATGAAAAAACAATCAGTTCGAATCCGAGGACTGATGAGGTGAGACGAGAATACGCGAGGCGAACGCGATGTAAGTACACGCTCGACTGTTCTCGCCTTTTCTTGACAAGGCTACCAGCATCATGATTTAGTTGACAGACTTGTTTCATGCGAGTATTGGAGTATTAAATATAATACGAGTGTATTATATTATTTTATGTTTAAGCTGGGAATATTGTCTCTTACCATAATAATTTCTGATACGTGAATCAGGTGTTCATTATCATTCGTCAGACATAATAAAACTAACAGATTTCAAGATTTGTTTCTTACCCAGCTACAGCCAATAATCCGCAAGCGTGTTGTACGATGATCGTGAAAATCGTGTCGCAAGCTCCGTACACGATGAGCACAGTTATTATAGCCAGGCTGCCATGCACTTGAGCAAAGTAAAAAATGTCGGCTTCGTCGACAAAATAGTAGCTCGGTACAATATATATCATCGGCGTCGTGTTATAAGATTTCAGCTTTGCTATGAGACGCACTGTCCATGGTACTTGCAGGAACAGGATAGTACAGACGACTGCGTTCGCTGCGGATTCATTCACATAAGTCACGTTCAAATAATCGGAAATTCAGAGTCGATCATTTGTCATAAGGTATTAAATCAGTAAGCTCGAGCAGTTCTTTCTTCAATCTCACCTAAATAAAACATCGTAAGCAAAGCACCCCTTTTCACATATTTCGTCATAATGGCGATTTCGTGGTCTGATCGATTAACAGTCCAGTCTTGATACATGCCCTTTAAGAGCCACTTGAACTACAATATTTGCATGATTATAGAAATAAAACATGTATGTAATCGTAAACGACAAATATTTACTTACCTCTGTTGCATTGAGAATATAATTTCCATGTTTAATGAATAATGTAATATCCGCTGATAGTAGCGTGAGATTGTCTAAGAAAACGTCCATATTCTTAAAGTGCACGATTCTCGCTATCTGAAATCAGTATTAAATACAGAAGTATTCATGGTCAGTCTTATGAAGCTTATATTATGTTATTCACTATTATTAGCTCATCTGTATTTCATTTCGAAGCATAATAGGTCAGAAATTGGGAGAAATCTCCCTCTTCATTAATGCTCACCTGAACAAACATCATCGACACAATTTCGATGTAAATAAGGATCCACGCTATACACTTTACACGTTTATTTTGATCAGGCCATATCCCTGCCCATTGGCTGAACCTTTTCGTAATTCTAAAGTATTGTTCTTCGAATGTGACAAAGTCCATAATACAAATAAATCCGGTCTACGTCGGTTGAAACGTTAGGGGTAAACTGTCAGAAATGTTTCTTTTGTCGATTTAACAATAGGAGAGCACGACATTCGGGCTATATATGAGCATGTAATATGTAACTCGCGGGTCGAGATTGCATTGTTAAAGATTCACTCAAGAAGGGACGATTTTCTATCATTATATAAATCGATACATAAGCTAATGCATTTCACGTGTATTACTCTGTCATTGTAGCAATTCGAACTTCTCGAACACTTTATTTACGTCAGTACTGTGCAAAATGGTTTACAGTTTGAATTATTTAAATATGAAACGCAAGTTATATTCGAGACTGATAGTTGACAGTCGAACCTAAGTCGTATATGTATAGTAACGTTCAAGTCGATTGCATAACTGTTTAATATGATTTGAAAGAGAGAAGTTTTCATCGGTAAAAATATTTTTGACATTTTTAAGCGTTTGGTGTCAAATTACTTTGAACTATCTCCGCAAAAGATCGTAAGCTCAGTGTTATCAGACCACCTGCTGGTAACAGAGGTGGTTTCAGGCCACATCTTAAAGATAACATGTACAATAATTGCGTTCGGGCTGCAAGATTCTACCACAGCGATTCATATGTACCATTTTTCAAGAAAATCCTCGATGTGGCACCTTTGTCCTGCCGCGCTGTCGCATTTGCTTCGTTCTTCTTACTATACCTACACCTGTTTCTAAAATTTTTACGCTCGAGTGAATTATTAAACCGCTAATAGCGTATAAAAATATGACATACAAGTGAGTAGTGCAACAGGAGAAGAAGTGAAGACTTAACATTGACTTGAAGAATGCAGTACACATAGATATTCTATCGTGAGTTTGATTCAGAAAGAGAAGTATTATTATTATGTACATCTTGATATGATAAAGCAATATTTTTTATATTCATATTCATACAATGGCAAAACCTAATTATACATATGCTGTGCTATGGGTATCGCCGTATCGCCGTACTCTTCGGCATAATACAATGTGATCGGTTTTGTGCGTATGTATCTACCTTGGAAAACAAGGAGGAAAAGGATGAATTAAATATATAAGCTTCATAAATAAATAGTTTACTACTCGTTTGTATATTTATTGGTGAAATAATGCTGCCAACACATTTATGACAATATATTCTCGCAATCCGCATTGCTCTAGGTATGTAATTACAACAAAATTCATAAATACCCAATAATGTGTGTAATGCACGATTAACAATAATTACGCACATGTTCGCTACTATTTAAAAATTTCTGCAGACGAGAATTAGCTTTGTAATTACTTACAAACATTAATTTTAACATTAAATAATTTGTTGTTAATTTGAACACTATGAAAAGAATTTTATTGGTCTGTCCTTCAACGATAATATAAACGAATCATCATTCTGACGTGTACGCCGTATAGAGCACCAGAATTTCGATCATTTCGTTTATGTATTTATCTCAGTACTGTATAATATGAAACAGATGCCTTTATCACCTATAAACAGTAATCTCTATTAAATAAATATATTACGAAAACACAATCCATTTTGTACAGGTAGTATCACATTTTACTTCTGAAAAGCTTTCCATATTCATATTTATGAGTCCGCCGGCTGTCAAACGAGGTGGTATTAACATCCTCCGTAACGCTAAGACGTATAGTAATTGTGTTTTCGCGTTTGTGTTATACCACAATCCTTCGTATCTGAAAATATCGTTGCTGTTACATCGGACATGTTTGACATCAAATTGTCACATAAAGAGACTTCATTGAGAACGATGTATACAAGTATTGACTGTATTTGCTCGTTAATTCGAGTTTACGTGGTACTCACATGTTTCTGTAAAGTGTATCACAAACATTTTCCACGAACTGGCCTTGGATCGTTAGGTAAAATAGATGCATTAACTGCGCGATCAAAAAGCTGAGGACTTTGTAAAAGTCCATGTTAACCTCCATAGTGGTCAACTAATTTTCGAAGAGTTTACGTGAAACGTGGAAACATACGGAATTGCCGGGTGTTCTTACCTGTACTAATGTAACACTAAAGCCGCAAATCACTATACCAATGCATAAGAAAAGATACGTAGTATGTGTATTTTCTATTTCCTGGACATACCTATTAAATTCGTTTTTTATGTATCAGAAAAATTGTCGAGAGAATACAGAGAGAACAAAAAGAATTGAAAAATTAGATTGTGATACTGACTTTATAGCTCGCTGTTGTGCTTGTATGGAAAAGTGTACTCTTTCAATACTTGTCATCTGTTTCTCCGAGTTTTTAGCAGCGTTGGATGCAGAGGGCTCGATGTGTTTGAATCGATATCTGAAAGCATGGGTGTGCAATAGAAAGCTATAAAGCCAGTAGTATACTCTGGCCAAATATCTCGGCGAGACGTTTACCGAGACGAGTGCTACCCGCTTGCCTCGCCTCGGTTTGGTTCGGCCTGAGTCGAGTGTTGAAGTTATTGCACTTTTGTGACATGGGTGTCCTTTAATTTGCTGCTCGCTCTCGCGGCTTGTGATGAAAAAACAATCAGTTCGAATCCGACCACTCATGAGGTGAGACGAGAAGACGCGAGGCGAACGCGATGTAAGTTCACGCTCGACTGCTCTACCCTTGTCTTGATAAGGCTGCCAGCAGCATGATTTAGTTGACAGACTTGTTTCATGCGAGTATTGGAGTATTCAATATAATACAAGTATATTATATTATTTTATGTTTAAGCTGGGAACATTGTCTCTTACCATAATAATTTCTGATACGTGAATCAGGTGTTCATTATCACTCGACAGACATAATAAAACTAACAGATTTCAAGATTTGTGTTTCTTACCCAGCTACAGCCAATAATGCACAAGCGTGTTGTACGATGATCGTGAAAATCGTGTCGCAAGCTCCGTACACAATGAGCACAGATATTATACACAGGCTGCCATGCACTTGAGCATAGTAAAAAATATCGGCATCGTCAACAAAATAATAGCTCGGTATAATATATATCATCGGCGTCGTGTTATAGGATTTCAGCCGTGCTATGAGACGCACTGTCCATGGTACTTGCAGGAACAGTATAGTGCAGATGAATGCGTTCGCTGCAAATTAATTCGCGTAAGTCACGTTCAAATAATCGAACATTTGGAGTTGATGATTTGTCGTAAGGTATTAAATCAGCAAGCTCGAGCAGTTCTTTCTTCGATCTCACCTAAATAAAACATCGTAAGCAAAGCACCCCTTTTCAAATACTTCGTCATAATAGCGATTTCGGGGTCTGATCGATTAACAGTCCAGTCCTGATACATGCCCTTTAAGAGCCACTTGAACTACAATATTTGCATGATTATAGAAATAAAACATGTATCTAATCGTAAACGACAAATATTTACTTACCTCTCTTGCATTGAGAATATAATTTCCCTGTTTAACAGATAATAAAACATGCGAGGCTAGTATAGGCAGAGTGTCTAAGAAAATGTTCATATTCTTGAAGTGCACGATTCTTGTTATCTGAAATCAGTATTAAATACAGAAGTATTCATGGTCAGTGTTATGAAGCTTATGTTATTTTATTCACTATTATTAGCTCGTCTGTATTTAATTTCGAAGCATAATAGGTCAGAAATTGAGAGAAATCACCCTCATCATTAATGTTCACCTGAACAACTACAATCGACACCATTTCGATATAAATAAGGATCCACGCTATGCACTTTACACGTTTATTTTGATCAGGCCATATCCCTGCACATTGGCCGAACTTTTTCGTGACTCTAAAGTATCGTTTCTCGAATGTGACAAAGTCCATAACTGAAATAAATGCAGTCTATGTCGGTTGACACGTTAGGGGTGAAATGGCAGAAATGTCTCTTTTGTCGGTTTAACTATAAGAGTGCACGACATTCGTGCTATATATAAGCATGCAATATGCAACTCGCTGTTAGAGAGTGCATTGTTAAAGATTCACTCAAGAAGGAACACTCTTCTATCATTATATAAATCGATACATACACTAATGCATTTCAAATGTATTACTCTGTCAATATAGCACTTCGAACTTTTCTAACACTTTATTTACGTCAGTACTGTGCAAGATGGTTTACAGTTTGAATGTATATTTAAATATGAAACGCAAGTTATATTCGAGACTGATAGTTGACGGTCGAACCTAAGTCGTATCTAGTAACGTTCAAGGCTATTGCATAACTGTTTAATATGAAACGGATGCTTTAATGATCTGAAAGGAAAAAGTTTTCATGGTTAAAAATATTTTTGACATTTTTAGGAGTTTGGTGTTAAATAACTTTGAGCTACCTCCGCGAAAGTTTGTAAACTCAGTGTCCTGCTCAGATCACCTGCTGTTAACAGAGGTTGTTTCAGGCCGCATCTTAACGATATAATAATTGCGTTCGGGGTACAAGATTGTACCACAGCGATTCATATGTACCATTTTTCAAGAAAAGCCTCGATGTTGCAGCTTTGTCCTGTCGCGCTGTCGCATTTGCTTCGTCCTCCTTACTGTACCTACACCTATTTCTAAAATTTTTACGCTCGAGTGAATTATTAAACCGCTAATAGCGTATAAAAGAATGACATAGGAGTAGTGCAAGGGGAGAAGTGAAGACTTAACATTGATTTGAAGAATGCAGTACACATAGATATTCCATTGTGAGTTTGATTCAGAAAGAGAAGTATTATTATTATGTACATCTTGATATGATAAAGCAACATTTTTTATATTCACAATCATACAATAGCAAAACCAAATTATACAAATACTGTGTTATGGCTGTCGCCGTATTGCCGTACTCTTCGGCATAATACAATGTGATCGGTTTTGTGCGTATGTATCTACCTAGGAAAACAAGGAGTAAAAGGATAAATTAAATATATAAGCTTCATAAATAAATAGTTTACCACTCGTTTATATATTTATTGATGAAATAGTGCTGCCAACACATTTAAGACAATATATTCTCGCAAGCCACGTTGCTCTAAGTATGTAATTACAACGAAATTCATAAATACCCGATAATGTGTGTAATGCACGGTTAACAATAATTACGCACATGTTCGCTACTATTTAAAAATTCCTGCGGGCAAGAAGAATTGTCTTTGTAATTGTTTATGAACATTAATTTTAAATAATTTGTTGTTAATTTGAACACTATGAAAAGCGTATCATTGGCCTGTCCTTCAATGATAATATAAATGAATCATCATTCTGACTTGTACGCCGTATAGAGCATCAAAATTTTGATCATTTCGTTTATGTATTTATCTCAGTACTGTATAATATGAAACAGATGCCTTTATCACCTATAAACAGTAATCTCTATTAAATAAATATATTAGGAAAACACAATCCACTTCGTAAAGGTAGTATCACATTTTACTTCTGAAAAGCTTTGCATATTCATATTTATGAATCCGCCGGCTGTCAAACGAGGTGGTATTAACATCCTCCGTAACGCTAAAACGTATAGTAATTGTGTTTTCGCGTTTGTGTTATACCACAATCCTTCGTATCTGAAAATATCGTTGCTGTTACATCGGACATGTTTGACTTCAAATTGTCACGTAAAGAAACTTCATTGAGAACGATGTATATAAGTATTGACTGCATTTATTCGTTAATTCGTGTTTACGTGGTACTCACATGTTTCTGTAAAGTGTATCACAAACATTTTCCACGAACTGGCCTTGAATCGTTAGGTAAAATAGATGCATTAACTGCACGAACAAAAAGCTGAGGATTTTGTAAAAGTCCACGCTAATATCCATAGTGGCCACCTAATTTCCGAAGGGTTTACGTGAAACGTGGAAACGTATGGAATTGCTAGGTGATCTTACCTTTACCAATGTAATACTAAAGCAGCAAACCACTATGCCCATGCATATGAAAAGATACGTAGTATGTGTATTTTCTATTTCCTGGACATACCTATTAAATTCGTTTTTTACGTATCAGAAAAATTGTCGAGAGAATACAGAGAGAACAAAAAGAATTGAAAAATTAGATTTCTGACACTGACTTTATAGCTCGCTGATGTGCTTGTATGGAAAAGTGTACTCTTTTATTACGTTTCACCTGTTCTTCCGAGTTTTGAGCAGCGTTGAATGAACAGGGCTCGATGTGCTTGAACCGATATCTGAAAGCATGGGTGTTCAATAGAAAGCTATAACGTTAGCAGTACACTCTCGCCAAATATCTCGACGAGACGTTTACCGAGGCGAGTGCTACCCGCTTGCCTCGCCTCGGTTTGGTTCGGCCTGACTCGAGTCTTGAAGTTATTGCACTTTTGTGACATGGGTGTCCTTCTTGAATTTGCCGCTCGCTCTCGCGGCTTGTGATGAAAAAGCAATCAGTTCGAATCCGAGCAAGGATGAGGTGAGACGAGAAGACGCGAGGCGAACACGATGTAAGTACACGCGCGACTGCTCTCGCCTTGTCTTGACAAGGCTGCCAGCACCATGATTTAGTCGACAGACTTGTTTCATGCGAGTGTTGGAGTATTAAATATAATAACATTATATTATATTATTTTGTTTAAGCTGGGAACATTGTCTCGTACCATAATAATTTCTGATACGTGAATCAGATGTTCATTATCACTCATCAGAAATAATAAAACTAATAGATTTCAATATTTGTGTTTCTTACCCAGCTACAGCCAATAATCCGCAAGCGTGTTGTACGATAATCGTGAAAATTGTGTCGCAAGCTCCGAACACAATGAGCACAGATATTACAGACAGGCTGCCATGCACTTGAGCAAAGTAAAAAACGTCGGCTTCGTCGACAAAATAGTAGCTCGGTACTATATGTATTATCGGCGTCGTGTTATAAGATTTCAGCCATGCTATGAGACGCACTGTCCATGGTACTTGTAGGAACAGGATAGTGCAGACGATTGCGTTCGCTGCGAATTAATTCGCATAAGTCACGTTCAAACAATCGGACATTTAGGCCGGTATTCAGAGTCGCTGTTTATTCTTAAGATCGTCTTAAGAATTTGCTATCCCTGTCTATTCCATATTTCCAGTCCCTGTCTTGTACAGGGAACATGGACAAGCAAATGCTTAAGACGATCTTAAGAATAAGCAACGACTCTAAATACCGGCCTTAGAGTCGATTATTTGTCGTAAGGTATTAAATCAGTAAGCTCGAGCAGTTCTTTTGTCAATCTCACCTAAATAAAACATCGTAAGCAAAGCACCCCTTTTCACATATTTTGTCATAATAGCGATTTCGTGGTCTGATCGATTAACAACCCAGTCCTGATACATGCCCTTTAAGAGCCACTTGAACTACAATATTTGCATGATTATAGAAATAGAACATGTATGTAATCGTAAACGACAAACGTTTACTCACCTCTGTTGCATTGAGAATATAATTTCCCTGTTTAATGAATAATAAAATATCCGCGGATAGTAGCGGCAGATTGTCTATGAAAACGTTTATATTCTTAAAGTGCACGATTCTTGTTATCTGAAATCATTAAATACAGAAGTATTCGTTTTCAGTGTTATGAAGCTTATATTATGTTATTCACTATTATTAGCTCGTGTGTATTTCATTTCGAAGCATAGTAGGTCAGAAATTGAGAGAAATCTCCCTGTTTATTAATGCCCACCTGAACAACTATAATCGACACCATTTCGATGTAAATAAGGATCCACGCTATGCACTTTACAAGTTTATTTTGATCAGGCCATATCCCTGCACATTGGCCGAACCTTTTCGTGACTCTAAAGTATCGTTCCTCAAATGTGGCAAAGTCCATAACACAAATAAATGCGGTCTATGTCGGTTGATACGTTAGGGATGAAATGGCAGAAATGTCTCTTTTGTCGGTTTAACTATAGGAGAGCACGACATTTGTGGTATATATGAGCATGCAATATGCAACTCGCGGTTCGAGAGTGCATTGTTAAAGATTCACTCAAGGAGGAACAATCTATCATTACATAAATCGATACATACACTAATGCATTTCAAATATATTACTCTGTCATTATATCAATTCGAACTTTTCGAACACTTTATTTACGTCAGTACTGTGCTAGATGGTTTACAGTTTGAATATATATTTAGATATGAAACGTAAGTTATATTTGAGACTGATAGTTGACACTCGTACCTAAGATACTCTGTCGTAATCGTATATAGTAACGTTCAAGTCGATTGCATAACTGTGTAATATGAAACGGATGCTTTAATGATCTGAAAGAAAGAAGTCTTCATCGGTAAAAATATTTTTGACATTTGGAGTTTGGTGTGAAATTACTTTGAGCTACCTCTGCGAAAGATCGTAAGCTCAGTGTTATCAGACCACCTGCTGTTAACAGAGGTGGTTTCAGGCCACATCTTAACGATAACACGTATAATAATTGTGTTCGGGGTGCAAGATTGTACCACAGCGATTCATATCTACAATGCATAGAAATTACTAAAGGATTGAGAACTCATCGAAATCTTGGAACAATTGCTGGTAACAAAAAATCGTACTCTATCGTCCTTTGGTTAAGACAATGAGTTTATCAAGACAATTATTTTATTTTTGCTTTGCTTACATCGCGATTGAAACACCGTCTAACGCGTTGATCACGAACTGGCCTTGGACAGTTAAAACGAATACGTGAAACAGTTGGGCGAGTAAAAACATGCAATACATTATCCATTGCGAGTGATGATCGTTCTCTGCCACCTAAAATGGAACGATCATGTCAATAAGGAATATCATAACTAAGGAATAATTCTGTCATCTCTGGGGTTGGTTCAACTTCGAAACTGTACAGCTAGGGAATGCATATGGTCGACCAAAAAATTTGTACCTTTAACAACGAGACGCTGACCGCTGTTATAAGCATCCCCATTGAAATGAACAAATAAGTATGGTGACTGTTTTCGATTATCTGCAGGTATCTATATCGACAGAATCAGAACGTTCGAATTAGATGTGTGATTCTCCAAATTTTGATAATATGGAAATACTAACTTTATAGCGTGCTGATGAGCTTGAATTGAATGGCACACGTTTTTATATTGCATTTCCTCTGACATTTCTATGTCATCTCCCTCGTCGGGAGAGGGTAAATTTTTGCACACGTTTCCAAATCGGTGTCTATAAACATGTTAAGCGGTCATTGAAATCTGTAGCGCGTTGTCTTCGTCATAAAAGTGATTTGTTGCGAACGAGATTCAATTTAACAATTATTCTGTTGATCGATCATTTGGGAAAAATCGGTGTCTCTTTGAATATTTCGAGTGGTCGATGTATTTGTTAGGTTTACCTCGTAATAGCTAGCAAACCGCAAGCGTGTTGCACAGCGTACACGTAGTTCGTATCGCAAGCGCAGAATATGCAGACTAGGAGGCCGGAGATCATAATCATGTGCCCTATTATCAG